ATCAAGCATCTCTTCAAATTTGCTTTCCCTTTCTATCCAGTGGCATGAAGCTGTGATGAGGAAGGTCAGGTTGAATATCAGGAAAATGTTCCCTACCAGTTGTTGGTGGGCACAGGACAGGCTCTCCAAGGAAATGGCCGTAGCACCGAGCTGCTGGAGTTCAGGAGGCATCTGGGCAACACTCTCAGGCATATGATCTGATTTTTGGGTGGTCCTGTGTGGGGCTGAGAGTTGGACTTTGATGTTCCTTGTTGGGTCCCTTCTAACTCGGGATATTCTGTTTCTATGACCCTGCCCTTCATTAATTTGTGCTGGAGGCTGAATGGCTGATTTCTCTTTTCCCTCTTCCCTTTGCTCTGTCTTCTCAGCAAAGCAGGGAAGAGTGTAGCAGCAGAGATTCATGGTTGCTTGTATGCGCTTAGTTTCTTGTGATGCTTCAGAGCAAGACGTGGATTATTTTGCTCTTTAGTTCTGTGTGGCAATAATTTACCTTGCTGCCTTTGCTGTTCATGGGGAAAAAAGAAAACTGGAACCAAAAAGCCATAAGTGTGGATGCACTATACTTCTTCTCTCATATCTTGTGTACCAGCCTGCCTTCTCTGAGTGCTTTATCCTGGTTACACATTATTGCCCTCAGTAAACAGTTCCCAGATAGGATAAATGTTTCCTGGGGAGAGAGAGGCTTTGTGTAGCTGAAAAGCAGGTCATAGTGCTGAATAAGCAAATAAATCACATGCTGGTGTTTAAACTTAATTTGAGCCTCACAGGAAAAAAAAAATGTTGTACCTTGCAATCTGTACAGGGTTAATTGTATTGTAGCCAAGGAGGGAACAGGCTCGGTAAGGATGATGGATTCCCCTCTGCCATGTGCTGCACGCAGGATCCGCAAACCAAGCACAAGGATGGAAGCCCCGCCTCTGGAGAGAAGAGTCAGGGTTGGTTAAAGCCCACTGAGATCATCTAGTCCAACCATCGACCCACCACCACCATGCCCACTGAACCGTGTCCTGGGGTGGCTGTCAGAGGGGGCTTTGTGCAGGGCTGTGGTTTAGGACTAGGGGAACGATGCAGCTCTGGATGCTGCCCTGCATCCTCGTCCCCATCCCCTGCTACAGAGAGGGACAGAAGTTGACACAGAGAGAAGCTCCCCTGCAGGTCCAGCTGCAGCTCCTGCGTGATATCTCAGCGCTATTTGCTTTTGCCACTAGATGGTGAAATAAGTAATAAACAAAAGCACCTCAAGTCTCGCCGTGTTCCCTGGTGGCCTCCCTCCTCGTGGAGCTGCGCCAATGTGCTCTGCTTTCTGGGAACCCAGCAATTCCAGGCAATTATGCTCAGTGCAGCTCAGCCTTCAAGAAGTGCTGCTGCCACCCAGAGCGCTTTGATCCCTGCCTGCAGCACTGCCATGCTGGCTTCGTTTTGGCCAAGCTGGGTTAAACTGAGCCTACCTGCCTGCTGTGGGCGTGCATGGAATGCTGGTGCTGAACACTTGCCTGGGCTGCGAAGGGGTGGAGGATACAGTTCCCTCTCCACAGCAACCAGGGACAGGGACACGCCAGGTTGGCTCTGCAGCCTCAGGATGCTGCTGGTTGCAGCCTGGAGCATGGCTATGACAGCCTATATCCAGCTTTGGACGGAGATGGTGAAGAGCAGGGAGGGAAAGGGTAAAGATATGGGGGGGACCCAAGGGAGAGCAACTTGATGGAATGAGTTATGACTTCTCAGCTGAGTAATTGAGTGCTAACCTGTCTCAGGTGTGAAACAAAAAGCTTTATAGAGAGATAGTCTCAATGTTGCCTGAAACACGGGCTGGCTCTGCTGGTGAAAGGCGACCTGCTGAGCTGCTGGGGCTGGATTGCTCCCATTGAGGGAAGGCTGCAGGGAAAGCTGGCAGCACCCAGTTTCTTTTCTTCACTTTCCCCACTCAGCATGAAGTGCCTGAATGGCACTTTACAGGGAGGTAAAGCAGTGGACAAATGTGACGCTCACATGAGCGCTGTGCCTGTGCCCCAAGCTCCACCATGCTGCAGCTGGTAGCACAGCAATGTTTGTCTTGGCTGTCAGCATTGGGCTGCGCAACCCAACCTGCTGCTTAGAATCTTGCCTGACAGGGCTGGCAACCTGAGTGTGGCCTATGGGGAAACAAGAGCAAGGCTTTAAAGCTGTTTGCAAAACAGTATGGAAGGAGCTGGTGGTTGCACAGGGACTGTCTCATGCTGGTTTGAGCTAGATATGAGGATCTGCCATGGTTGGTGATACTCAGTATGCTGCTCTGCACAGCCAGCAGCAGGGTACTGTCCCTGTGGCTCTTCCCACACCTATTTGATCAAATAACTCAGGGAAGCACAGCCAACAGCCAAGGCTGAGCAAACCCTGTTGCAAAGGCACTGCTGTGAAGTGGAGGGAAAGAAGCAAAATGCACATCTGCGGCATAGCAGTGGGTGGGGAAGGGGAGGACTGTGAGGCTGGACGTGTGAGCAGGGCAAAGTGCCTGAGCAGCTGGTAGGGGTGGACAGGGGGTGGCCAGGCCTGCTACGCTTGTGATGATTTTTTTCATTTTAAACTGTGTTTTGCTTTTCTTTTGTAAGAAGGAAAAGATGAATCACAGCATTCGCAGTGCCCTGCTGGAAATGGGCAGTGCTTTGGCTGATGGTGTTGTTGGGCAGCAATGCACCCACTGGTGTCAGGTCTGAGTGCTGGAGGTCTGTGCCTCTTCCACAGCACCTTCTGAGGTATAAGAGCAAAAGAAAAAGGGAAAAGCAGTGTTTGTTGTGGCACAGCTTGGCTGTGCCCTGGGTCTGTAGCTCACAGGGCTTGAACAGCTTCCTGGGCTGTCCCACTGGTGCTGATGGAGTTGGGGCTTCAGAGCCCTGGCTGCTCACATCAGCCTTGTTAGCAGCATGCATCCAAATGCTGAGCAGCTGGATGCCAGGAGACTGATATCAAAATTTTATTTACTGTTACTTTCCCCCTTCTGCCCCCCAAGCTTTTTCTCTACAGTCTTCCACAGACTACAAATGCACGTTTCTCACCAAATCCCAGGACTCTGAGTGCTGAGGCATTATAATTACCATAATGCATGGGATGGGCTGCTACCACAGCCCTCCTGCAGGAGTGGGTGTGCTTGGGGGCTATCCTGGGGGTCTGCACCAGCCCTGGTGCTTCTCACCATCACGGCAGAGCTGTGAGACGACCTGGACAGAGGCTGAAAGGGAGATGTGATGCTACTGAGGTGCTTACAGGTGCTGCTGGGGTCTGCTTTCTCAATGTCACAGCTCAGAGTGGAAGTGGCTGGGTTGAGCTTTAGGTGAGACTGAGGGGTTTCCATCTACAAAAGGAGAGAGAAAATTGAAGCAGCTGTTGTGGTTTCATCATTTACATCTACACTCTGCCCACGTTGAGGAATTTGGCTTGTGAGGATGCGATAGGTGCTCCAGAAAAGCATGAGGTCCCAGCACAGCACTCCCAGCCTTGCTGCAGCCCCAGGAGTCCCTGCACCCTCTGTCTCCATGTGCCCTGTGCTGTGAGGTCAGATTGCACCGACTCTGATGGAGGTCAGTGAACACAGGGAAGTGTGTGTGTGTGTGTGTGTGTGTGTGTCACTGTGGCCTCACTTTACAGCCTTGAAGGCACTCTCTGCAGCTGGCATCTGCAAAATGGGCATCTCCCCCACTGCCCTCTCACCCGTGTCAGCACTGTAGGCTGTGTCCAGCAACTCCCACATCCCAGGCCCTACTTTGCGTCACTGCTTATAGCACAGTGTGGGGATGAGGGAACAGGGCTTTCTCCCTCCTGTGCAGGGAATACCTTTATTGGCTCAAGCACCTGATGTGGTGATTAACTGAGAGCTGCCTGAACCCTGATCATCTTTAGGGACATCTAAAAGTAAGAGCAAAGAGCCCATGTGTGTGTAAGCCAGGGCTGTATGGGTCAGCGCTCTGTGCGTGCTGAGATGTGGGGACCACCAGGTGTGCCACCACTGCTCTTTGCTGCTAACGAGGTGCTGTGATGCTGCTGCAACCCAGGGGGGCTAAGCCAGCACGTGGGGGTCTGAAGCTGCTCCTCTCCGTGGGGCAGACGCGGGGCTGCCACTCACCTCCCATCCTCCTGCGTGGAGGAAAGACTGCGAGAGCCTGCGGGGAACTGGCGTGTGGCAGGAGGAACTCCCCCGGCGCCGGTTGCGGCTGCTGGCGTTCGGGTGCCGCGGGTCGGGACATCGCGTGGGTGCTGTGGCCACGAGGGCCGCTGCGTGCAGTGCGGTGCGGCGGCCAGCAGGTGCCACTGCCCCCCCGCGCTGCCTGGGGCCGCCGCCCGGCTGCTCCCCCCGCCTCGCCTTTCCCCACTCGCGACGGCCCGAAGCGGCACCACGGCCGTGTGTGTGTGTGTGTGTGTATGCGTGTGTGCGGGGGGGAGGGGGCCGCGCAGGGCTCGGAGCCCGTGCGGGATGGGGTGGCACCGCGCCGTGAGGCTGCGATGCTCGGGGAAGGTGGGGGAGCCGGGGGCTGGGGGTACCCGGAGCAGCGGGCAGGAGGTGGATGGGGCTGAGCTTGTCGGCGCTGCAGGCGAAGCTGCGGGGTCTGTGTGTGTGTGTGTGTGCGCGCGCGCGCGTATGTGTGTCTGTGTGTGTATGTGCGTCTGTTTGTGTGTGCGCGGCGCGTCTGCCCGCGTCCGTGTGTGTGTGTGTGTGTGTGTGTGTGCGTGTGCGCGCACCGGGGGCAGCTCCCCACGTGGGGCTGACGCGGCAGCCCCGGCCTGATCCGGGGCTATAAAACGGCTCCGCGGCGAGCGAAGCAGAGCAGCCTCCGTCGGCTGCAGCCCAGGCTCGGCTCCGCTGCGCTTCGCGCCCGGCATGAGCCGCGCCCGCCCTCGCCCCCCCGGCCGCCGCCGCTCAGCCCCCGTCCGGGCGGCGCCGCTGTAGGAGCGCGGAGCCCCGCGGAGAGCCGGGAGCGGCGCGGGTGGGGCAGGGGGCGAAGGGCGGGGGTGTCCGCGCAGCGGGGTTGATGTTTAACCCGGAGCGCCCGTTCACGGAGAGGGGCCACTTCTCCTCCATGGAGTACCAGCGGCAGCTGGAGGAGGAGGAGGGCTACCCGCCTCCCGGCGCCAACGGGACCTTCAACGACAGCGGGGCCGGGCTGGGATGGAGCATGCCGTACCCCCTGCACACCACCGTCACCCTCATCAGCCTGGCGGGCTTGCTCATGCTCTTCACCGTCTTCGGCAACGTCCTGGTCATCATTGCCGTCTTCACCAGCCGGGCGCTCAAGGCCCCCCAGAACCTCTTCCTGGTGTCCTTAGCCTCAGCCGACATCCTGGTGGCCACGCTGGTCATCCCCTTCTCCCTGGCGAACGAGGTGATGGGCTACTGGTACTTTGGCAAAGTCTGGTGCGAGATCTACCTGGCCTTGGACGTGCTGTTCTGCACCTCCTCCATCGTGCATTTGTGCGCCATCAGCCTGGACCGCTACTGGTCCATCACTCAAGCCATCGAATACAACCTCAAGCGCACCCCGCGCCGCATCAAGTGCATCATCTTCATCGTCTGGGTCATCTCGGCCGTCATCTCCTTCCCGCCGCTCATCTCCATAGAGAAGAAGAGCGGGCAGAAGGTGGACCAGTGGCCGGCAGGGTGCAAGATCAATGACGAGAAGTGGTACATCATCTCGTCGAGCATCGGCTCCTTCTTCACCCCGTGCCTCATCATGATCCTGGTCTACGTGCGCATCTATCAGATAGCCAAGAGGCGAACCAGGGTCCCGCTGAACAAGAGGGCGGAGCGCCCGGAGAAAAAGCAGAATGGCTTGGCTGACAAGGAGGACCTGCCAGCTTCAGCCCAGCTCAATGGGGAGAAAGCGGCCGGAGCTGGAGATGGGCAGGAGGGAGAGGTCAACGGCATAGATATGGAAGAAACCTCCTCCTCTGAGCACCAGGAGAACAACCAACCCAAGAAGTCAGAGAGACCCCTGCGGGGAAAGACCAAGACTAAGCTGAGCCAGATTAAACCTGGGGACGCTTTGCCCAGGAAGACGGAGGAGGAGAGGAACACCAAAGGGTCCCGATGGAGGGGCAGGCAGAACCGGGAGAAGCGTTTCACCTTCGTGCTCGCAGTGGTGATTGGGGTCTTTGTCATCTGCTGGTTCCCATTCTTCTTCACCTACACGCTGACTGCAGTCTGCAAGAGCTGCTCTGTGCCTGCCACCCTCTTCAAGTTCTTCTTCTGGTTCGGTTACTGCAATAGCTCCTTGAACCCCGTCATCTACACCATTTTCAACCACGACTTCAGACGGGCCTTCAAAAGGATCCTCTGCAGGATAGAGAGGAAAAGGATCGTTTGAAGGACCTGTGGGCAGAACTAATAATTCAAGACTTTGCAAGAGAGTAAGGCATGGCTTCTTGGGCTGTGCTTGCATGGGATGGTTTCCTTCAGCTTGTGATCAGGAAGCCTTCCAAACCTGAGATGAGCCCACTGAAACGCCCAACAGCGGCAGCAAGGAGCGGCAGGCAAGTGGAGGTCTGAGCCTGGCACTCAGCTCCCAGGGGAGGATGACTTTCGATTCGCTCGGTTTACTTTGTGAGATTTTTTTCTTTTGCCACAGAGTCTCTCAGTGGATATTTTCTTGACTGCTCAGTTTGACTCTTTAAAGACAAATGACGCACAGCTCCGTGGGATGAACAGCAAAGAGGGAGTATGCCCCTTCAGAGGTGTTGGCTTTTTATTTTGTTGTATCTTCCCCCTCCCCTTACCCCCCATTGTATATGTAATTAATTTTAACCCCCTTGTAAAATACAGTATTGTATCTCTGCATCTGAATGTCTTGATTTCTGTAAGGCAAGCAGCTTTGAAACTCTGAATGCTTTAATTATGTTTGACACCTGAAAACTCCCTCTCTTCCCATTCCCTGAAATCCTCCTTACTCAAAACCAACAAAGAGTTAGAGCAGTTTCCCCTGCCTGACAAGTGGATAATATTACCAACATTTCCATTTCCAATGTCCTGCTGTTCTTTTTTCTATTTTTTTTCTTTTTTTTTTTTTTTTCTTTTTGGCTATAGAGCTGAGGATCACACTCCCTAACAGTCTAGTTTTGGTTGTTTTGTTTTGTTTTGTTTTGTTTTTTCATTTTCTCTCTGTTCTACCTGGTTCTGTTGAATTCAGTGCTGCCCGTGGTACGATAAGGCTGAGCTATAACTTCCATGTCCCTACCAGCTGCAGCAGAGCCGTGGGGCGGTTGCCGTGCAGGCGGGCACCCAAGGGCTGCTGAGGGCTCTTTCTCACGCCGTGCAGAGCTTGGGACCCAGCCAAGCTCTCAGCAACTTCCCCTCGGCTGATATTATACTGTATTGAAGCGCCAAAGTGTGTTCAATGCTAACTCGGTTCCCCCACCCCCGACTGTAAATAGATAACATTTCAAAGCAAACGTCAGCGCTCCGTATATCACGCTGTCTTGTTTCTATTGATTTTCTGCTGTTTTAACTCCCGCTGTGTTCCCTGAGTGAGGGAGAGTTCAGTTTGCAATCTGCCGCTCTCATCTGCCCTAGGAAATGCTGAAGCATCCCTCTTGCGGTCTTACACAGGGCAAAGCTCTGAAAGGGGGAACTTCCTGGCAGGTTCCCCACTATTTTATAGTGTAAGAGAGCCTTTTTTTTTTTTTTTTTTTTTTTAATTAAAAAAAAAAAACAAACCACAAAGTGTAAATATTGTGAGGTTGGAGCAGGAGAGAGAGTTAATGCTGCCTTTCCACTCCTCTCTTGAAATGTCTTTCAGCTTTTTCTGCTCAAAACTAAAAACACAAAGAGAACAAATGTCACATCCTTCTGCCGTGGAGAAATTTCTGGAGAATGCTGAAAGGAAAAACTTCCTGATCTCTCTTAATAAACGAGTCTGCAAGCCTCCTAATGCCACCCGTACAGCTCTTCAGTGATGACAGATCATAGGAACTGTTTGGAGAAAGCAAAGTTCAAATCTCACGTATAGGATGGATTTGCCTTCTGTAGGGTTGTGTGGTGCACAGGAAGAGACTTTAAAGCAGCACCTTTTTACTTTTGGATGTGTTCTGTTGATTTTGCTCCCTTCTGACTTTGTATTCACTCGCAGGGTGCCCGGACGCACCCTGGGACCTGGCGAGCAGTGTTTACATTCACTTGCGTTTTCAGAGTTGAATCCTCAAAAGGTGAGGAGAGCAAATAAACTGTGCTTGACTGTAAAAACAAAGCAGAAAACACAAGCAGAGGTTGCTACAATGGATGATTATTTTTAATAAATAAAAGAGTGTTTACAGATCAAGCGTGAAAGCCTTCTGAATAATCTGTTTAGCTGTGTCGTATTTTTTTCCAGCTGCTCACCGATTCTCAGGCAGCTTTGCTTTTGACACTGCTACAGGAACACGTTGGGAAAAGCAGTGGTGCTTTCTGAAGGCGTTGTGACAGCAGGTAGGGAACAATGGCTCGCTTCATTGCGCAGGGGCAGAGCAACAAATGAGTCCTTGGTGTTTCTTGTTCTTCCCACCCCCTTTCATGGCATGGTAAGAGCATTCATGTGTTTCTTAGAGAAAAGAGCTTAGAGGTGATTTGCTTTTCAGAAATGCAGCCTGACCCTGGTTTTGCCTCTTGCTGGGGCTGCCCAGCTGTGGCTGCTTTATAGCTGATTGGTTGAGAAGGTTTGTAATAATTAGGCTGCAGATGGGATTAGAAGTGATTGGGCTGGAAGGAGATATTCCTGCATGTATGCAGGAGTGCCCACGTGGCCAGAGTGTTTCGCAGGCCTGGAGGGTGTGATGGAGGCAGGTATTCTGCTGTCCCCTCTGGCTGCAGGTACACCTGTTGGCTTTGGCAGGTTTTCCCAAGCAGACCCTAGGATAGATGTAGGAGCTGGCAACTGAGTGGCCATCAGTCACACATCCCCATCCTTCTGCCTGTTGGCCTCCTGGCCAAGTCTCTAGCACAGCCGGTGTTCTGGTGGATTTGGGGCAGGGGCTTTGATGGGCTGTCACTGTGCACGGCTTAAATATGCACAGCTTCCTCCCAGTTTTCCACCAAATGCAAAAGCAACGTGCTTTTGGGGTTATGTTCTTCCCGACCCCTTGTGGTTCAGACCAGCCAAATAAAATGCCCCAGGAACTGCGGTGGGTGCAGTCAGTGACTTTTTCATCTGCCATGCAGAGCTGCCTGTCCACCCCTGTGGCTGGTGTCTTAATTTCCACCATCCTGCTGCCTTTGCCTGCTGCCTGCTGATTCTTTTGTGTTTCATTTCCCTGAGCTGCTGGACATTTGTTTTCGGATCTGTCTTGAGCCGTTTTTGTTGGCTGGGGGGATGTGTCCAACTGCAGGGCCCTGCAGGCTGTGTCATGGAGATGCCGTGGTGGATGAGGAGTGGCCTGAGGTATTGGAGCTGGCAAGGCTCAGCTCCAAGATGTCTCTATGGGTGAGCTGCAGGCTTTTCTTGCACAGCCAGCTGACAGCCTGCCCAGAGCTTGTCTCTGACCTTTCTCTGCTGGCACTCACACTTATTGCTGTGGGGTTTTGCCCCTATTTGCAGAGGCACAAGGGGCCGGTCATGTTGAGCAGCCTTTCCACGGTGACCCAAGGAGAGCTGGACTTGAATCCAGTCACTCTACTCACAAACCATGCATTTTTCAGGCTTGAGAAAGCTCCTGTGGGTTTCAGCCCATGTCCCTCAACCATGCTGTGCCAGGAGTACCCCTCCCCACACAGTAGGTCTCACTGGTTCTGGTGCCCCATGCTGTTCCTCTTGGGTCGGGTGGCTGGGAGGCAGCTTGGGAATCTGTCCTTGTGGCTCTTTGTGTTATTTTATTTCTGAATAATCTCTTTCACTGCTGGAAAAGTTCAGTCTACAGAGATTACTCCTGGGTTACAGGCAGTGCTCTGGCAGATGTGGCACCGCTCCCGCTGCAGACCTTGCTGTGCAGCTGGTTTGTGGTGATGCTCTGTGAGGTGCCAGGTCTGTGCAGCTGCTGAGCCTTACTGCCAGGTCAGCAGAGAGCCCAGCCCTGCGGCACTCAGCTCGCAAATGGAGCAGATGCTGACTGCTCTGTGAACTGCAAGGGCAGCGGGCTGAGCCTCAGAAGTACAGGTGAGATTACAGCTGTGGAAAGAACCTTAAATCACACCTTCCTTGGGTTGGGCTGTGGCTTCTGGCTGGCCCAAGGTCCTATGGACCTGTGCAACAGATGGCTATGGGGCCCAGGACAGCCCCAATTTTGGGCTTCTCTGCATGGGGGGGGGAGCTGGGACCAGGCACTTTACTTCTGCCATCCTGTGCCCTGCTAATGCAGAGATGGCTTCTGGGTTTTCTCCCACTTTGTGCCATGCCCAGCTTTTCAGATATGCCTTGGCTTGAGCAAGTTTGAGTTGTTGTTGAGTTTGTTTCATGGCAGCAGGTCTCAACCTCTGCCTGGGGCAGGAGATGCCAGAAGATGTTGAATGGAGATGCTGACATGTGAGCTGGTTGTTCAACATCCTTTCCTTCTGAGGGGACATTTTGAGGCATTTGAGCAGTTCCCCAGTAGTGCTGATTTCCCACGTGGGACCATGAGTGTGTGAAGCCAACATCCCACAGCAGGACCTGCTGAGATGAGTGGGGTGTGGTACCCAAACGCTACAAAGCAATGTGAGGATAAACTGGAAATGGAGCAAGAAAGCCTCTCCACTACTTGAGGAGAGGCATAGGTGTTTGTCAGCAAGGGCATAAACTTGCTGGCTTTTACTGGCTTCAAAGAGCTTAAGCTGGCGCTGGGTTTGTCGGTGTGGTGGTCAACTCCATATTGATCAGGTGAGGGGACATCGTGTTCATGGGAGGGCTCTGAAGTCCTGCATGGCTTTGATGTCAGGGAACACAGAGCAACAAGGACCTCTCCCAGGAAGCTCAAGGGCTGCTGGGTGTTCAGGGACTTCCTGAGCCAGAACTGCTTTCTGTGCTGAGGGAGAAATTCCACCAACATGTGTTTCCCTTCAGCATTGCTCCAGTCAGGAGGAGAGCCTCTCGAAAATGTTTTTTAAGTCAAATGCAAGAGTAACAGTGCAAGCAGGATTCATCGGGAGGTGAGTTGACCTAAACACCCCTCCTTCCTCATTTGCCATTCTTGCAGCATCTGACCTCCATTGGCTCAGGCCAGCTGGGACGTAGCATTGGCAGGAGCAGCCCTGCAGTCCTCCAGAGCTCTGGGACTCACTTGCTGTAGAGTTTGCTCCCAGAGATGAGAAACTTTTGTTTTTAATCAAGTGCTACATGGAGAATTGATTGCTCCTTTGCTGATTGAAACAGTGGTGATTTTCTGGGCCGTGACTTTATGGCCTTTTTCCTGTTTGCTTTTCAATTACTCTCTACAGGAAAAAAAGCAAAGAGCTCTCCACCACAACCATCTCTGAGAAAGCAACGCTTGCTGGAGGCTGCCTTGCCTTCCATCTGCATGCATTGAGTTACTGCAAAGCATTCAGCTATTTAAAACCAATCCTGCATTTATTATTTTCAAAGACTGACTTTTAAGCCCCAAATTTTGTGGGGCCTGAGGAGTTAAAATAACTGGTATAAGCAGAATAACCTGACTTGCTTACATTGAAGGCTTTATCTCCACTGGGATCGGGGCCTTCAGCATTGCTGTCTCGGGACGATGGAGGTACATCCATTCCATTTTGAGCAGCAGTATAATTGTTTTCATTGATGTTTCCTATCATTTGAGTGGGATGGCTTTAAGGCAGTGCAGCAGAGAGGAAAAGAAGCTCAAATCTGCTCTGCTCAACGGGACGTGCACTGAGGAAAGCAAGGTAAGCAGTGCTGTGTGCAGGGCAATCCTTCATTGCTGACTGCTCTACCAGGGTTAATTAGAAAATGAGTTCTGGCTGGTGCGACTGGTGTAAATGGACCTTGATCCAAATAGGGTTTCCTTCTGTAATATAAGGCAATAGTGGCTGCAGGTGCAATGGTGGCAGCTGACTTCATGGCCTGGCGTTAAGTGGATTAAATCCTTTGGGGTAGAAATGATCTGTTCCTATTTTAGCCCTCCCTCACCACCACCTCACCCTGGAATTCCCCTTCCTCCAGCTTAGCTTCATGGATTCCTGCTGCACTGCCTGGGTGTGTGCATTTGTGGGGGGTACAAATGTAGTCTTTCAAAGATGAGAGGTTACCAAGCAGGGTGTGGAAATGTTGGTGTAAACCAGATGATGTTACTGTATATTGACACACAAAAGATCCTGCCTTAAAGGACTGGAGGAGGCCAACAAGGAGGTCAGCTATCTGCCATTGCTTTTAAGATATTAAAGGTGGAAAAAAAACCCTTGTTCATTGCCATCTCAGTTGAGATGGTGTAAGCTGTCATGTTCAAGTTATCAAATGTTTGGAGGAAGAGGTGAGTTTTTAGCTGTTGTTTATTCAGACCAAGATTTAATTAATATTAAATAGATTAAATATTTGATGAAAGAGCCTGAAATTAAATATTTAGCTCCCTCTTCCCCCCAGACTGCAGCCTCAGTGGATTTGTGTGGGCATCTTCTGAGCATCAGGGAGTGTTAAAGACCCAAGCTGCAATGGAGCATCACCTGCAGAAGGGAATTACATTGCTCTGGGATCCTTATCAGTCTGCATGGGAATATGACCATCCTTATTATGGAGCTCTGTCCCACTGGGACCTCAGATCCCGCATGAATGGCTGTCTCTGCTCTTCTGCCACGTCTTCTGCCTCGTGGTGGGGACCGGCTTTCTCCCTGTGGTAGGAAATCCTGCAACGTGCACTGTGCTTTTTTTCCCCTGCGGCTGCTGGTGATTTCAGTGCAGGACTGTGAGTGCGGCCATGTGAACAGCTGCGCTGCTCTTGGCGGCACTGCTGCCAGCCAGCAGGTCCCCAGGAATGGCCCTGCGTGGGTGGCTGTGGCTTAATTGGGGAAGAAAACAATAAAACTTAATGCAGCTGGCATTTCCCTCTTTGTCAGACCTGAGAAAGAAAGCCGCAGAGAAACCAAGCTCTCAGCCCTTGGCTTTCTGTTTGCAGCACAGTTTGAAAAGGCCAGTGGTAAACCAGAGTATCTGGAAATTCATTATGATCTGTGTGAATGGTCTTGTAAATTAGACATGGGCTCCTTGGAGAGTGCCCTTGTACCTTTTGTGCTGGTTAGTTGGTGCTGGTTGGGTTATTTTTTTATTGACTTGTGCTGTGAGTGCTTCATTGCCTTTGGAAGAATTATGATTGTGACCTCTTCATTCACCCTGCCCAGGCCTCTGTATGCCACTATCAGAAATCAGCTGCTAGGCCTTCAGGG